TGTATGGTTGGCACTAGAAGCTTTCTTGGGGCCCATGGTCACTTATTTTCCAGAAACAGCACCGAAAAAAACTGTAATAATACGAAATATTCCGAGTATATGCTTGGATGTTACCGCGGAGGCTGGCTGGTAAACAATGGCACGGGCGGCACATGTGAGGCTGGCTGAGGGCGCACATTGGACGCGTCTCGGACGAAAATCGGTGAGCGGGTTTTTAATCGGTATGCGCGGCAAAATTTTTGCGATTAAAGTAAGCGGTATGCGTATTAATCGCTATGTGATGCCATCGTTATGCGGGGGTCCACTGTACATGCACAATATATATTGTGCATGTACTACTCTACTATTGTGCATGTATCCTTCTCTTTGTGTGTAGGAAAATGTATATTTCATGTGGTAAAATTTTTTTTTTCATACTTTTGGGTGTCTTGCATGGATTAATTTGATTTCCATTATTTCTTATGGGGAAAATTCATTCGCATACCGAACATTTCGCATAACAACCAGCCCTCTTGCACGGATTAAGGTCGCTATGCGGGGGTCCACTGTATGCTCTCGCAAAGTTAGCGGTCTCGCCAATGTTTACGCATGGCGATTTCGCCCACTTTGAGCCCTATTTTCGGCCAATTCCTGTCTACTAGTCGACAAAAATCATAGTTATTTTGCTAGAACTCCATTTTTTCTATCAAATGAGTACAAGAAACCACCCATTTACCAATTTCAACTATCCAATAAAGTGATTAGAAACTGGCAATTTTGCCAATTTCACACAAATTTCAGAAGATGCCAATTTCCAAATAGGGACCAGAATAAACAAGACAGACATTCCTGGCACTAAAATAACAAGTTCTCTGTTCATTAGTCATGTCCCCAGGCCCCTGTTATATTTCTTTTGCTTTCTACTTTGAATTTTTATTCTTACAAAAAATAGATTTACTGTTATGCAGACTACTGCATTAGTGTAGAAATGGTATAAATAATATCAGTGCACTTGTGAAAGAATATTACACTCACCAGTTGACATGTATTGGATGCTTGGCATATTTTGTTTACTTTTGAACTTTGGTAAAAATCAAACATTTCTGCTACTTTGAGCTCAATTTCAAGGTACTTTTCATTGTGAAACCAATCGAAATCATCTCAATTTCTGTAATATGTCTTCCATTTTATAAAATGAGACCAGGAAAACTAGAATACAACCATAAATACCAAATGAAAATACAGTGCAAATTTGCCGTTTTAATCCAAAAACACGGTCAAAGTTTTTTTTTTTTCTCATTACGCACTGTGTGCTGCAGGATTTTTTTATATTGTGCACACTGACCACATAGACCCATTCTTTCATGTGTAGGCCTACCAGCTTTCTCTCGCTAGATTTGAAGACGCTAGAATTTAGGCGTTCTAGTATGTCAATAACCCTGGTGCGTAAGCTTTACTAGTACGTCGAAAACCCTGAAAGGGCTAAATAAACATATAAAATAACATTTTTACTTACCTTTATTGAAGATTGTTGATGGCATCTGGAAGATAAGGAGGAGGAGTGAGGGAGCACTTATTGTTTGGAAGGGGAATCCCCCTCCCATAAAGACTTTAGGTAACAAGTCCTTTTCTGGGGATACTTCTCTTCTTTGTCTTTTAATGCAACTAGGACCAGCTTGAGACTCACTGGACCCCTGTCTCACAAAATAACTGTCCACAGTCCTCTGTTTCTGGCACCTCTTTAAGATGTCCCTGAAGTGGGACATGGTTCTGTCACTGAACTTGTTGCAGAGATGGCTTGTTTCAGCTTGCTCAGGGTGGTACTTCTCCACAAACCTTTGCACATTTGTTCTCTCAGTGACAGCTTCAACAATGAGAATTATGGAACCAATGATGACTTTTTTTTTTTTTGAATGTTTAGGAACTGATAGTAATGCTCGAGATGCCAGAAATATGACTGAAAACCCCGATGATCCACAAACGTCTATGTCTGGGGATGGTTCATCTAGAACACATCCACCTCCACCATGCTGAAAGCAAAAGCTCATATTCTCCTATGGCCTAAGCTCATATGTGGGTAATGGTGATGATAGTGATGCAGACTTTGATTTCCTAGCAATTGATGAGCTGTCTAGGAGTGATAGTGATGAAGATTATTCACCAGTGAGTCTCAGTTTATATGGCACTGCATGTGGTCTAGCAGTGTGCCCAGTGCCATTTCCAGGGGATGGAGTACATTCCAGGACCCAACACCGGTGACAAATAATGATAGTGAAGGTGTTTCACATCAATGACATCATGGTATATTGGTGGCATGACAAATGTGACATTGTTGTTATTGATTCACCGCCACAAAATGAAAGACAAAGGAAAGGTGAATAGACACATCAATGAACCCATTCTGAGACCAGCTGCTCTCATGGATTACATTGCCAATATGCATTTGGTGGACAAATGTGATGTGCACACTGGGTTTGCTTACTGTGTCTGCGAAGTTACAAGTGGTACATGAAACTCGTCTTCTCTCTTGTGGACATTGCGAAGCTCATTGCTTACAATATATATATACACCAGGCCACGACCAGCAACAGACCACCATATGCCCACTTTTGTTTGTCTGTCATCAGGCAAATAATACACAAATATCAAGTCACAACACCTGCAGTACACATACACCTGTGAAATGATCACCAAATAATCTCTCATTTCAAGGATTTACACAGACTGTAACAGTTCTAGGAACATTACCAGTGCCTGTATTTTTTTTTTTTTTTTCAACAAGTCGGCCGTCTCCCACCGAGGCAGGGTGACCCAAAAAAGAAAGAAAATCCCCAAAAAGAAAATACTTTCATCATCATTCAACACTTTCACCACACTCGCACATTATCACTGTTTTTGCAAAGGTGCTCAGAATACAACAGTTTAGAAGCATACACATACATATAAAGATACACAACATATCCTTCCAAACTGCCTGTATATATGTACATAATGTTAGAATATTAGTAATATGAAACATCTATACCTGTGTGCATTTACACTGTGTAAACATATTTTGTAAACAATGCACTGATGACACTAATAATGCAATTGCAGCCTCTCCTCACTCAGCAACGTACTCATTTGCCAACGACTTGGACTTACAACGGGCTCTCTGACCAGTACGCATACCTAAATAATGTATATTAGAGCTGATTTCCTCTATTCTGTATTACAATATACAGTACACTGCTGTATAAACGTTTAAAAATATACGAGAAATGTTATAAATGGTGCAAAGGTGACATTAAACAATATCAAAGATGGCTGACACAAACCCACTACCATTATAGTATGCTCCTCACTTAGTGACAAATAGGAATGGAACTCCATCATTGAGGAGAGACTGTATTGTGTTGCATACAATAGGTAGATATATGTACATTTTGAGTGATCTGGGTCTCATGGGCCACAGAAATTACTTGAAAATGTAAAAAAATTAGAAAAACCCAGAAAAAAGTACAAAAAATTAAAACAGAAAATGTGGAGGATGTGGAAGTCAATGATGTTGCTGTCAGTGGGTCATCAACCTTCAATTTCACGTCCTCATATCTCGGAAAGAACTAATGGGATTTTTTTTTTTATTACCACCACAAAATGTACTCTTTTATTCTGAAAAATTCTAACACTGTAAACACTTTTAATTTTGGTCCTTCTGATAATGCAGGGGTTAATGGAGTTTTCCATTCTTAATATAAAAACAAATCTGGTTAATTTAAGAATTGTTTTTATACAACTGACTTTCCCTTAACACTTGAAACACAAGTTTTTCAAGTGTAAAATTGCCAAGATCTACAGACTAAACATATTTTGCGAAAGATCTCTGCAATTTACAAATTAAACTTTATAGAAAGAAACAAGAGTTGCATTATGTAACAGCCACTTAAACAACTAAGTCATATATTGGAACTGGCATAATCAGGATGCCTGTTCATCCCAAATTTATTGGAGTAAATTTTTTAACTATTGATAAAAAGCTTTTACAGGGCATTATCTATTACATAACCACAAATGTCAATCATGAACATTAAGGTGACATAAATAATAACTATATATTAACCCTGGATAAAATGCCTTAATTTTCCATCTCTGGGAACCAGCTCCCCTGTTAAGATCTAAAGTTTATTGCTTGGAGATTAACTAATGAGCCCTAGCATTCATTACTCTTAAGATGTTTTATTAATGAGTAAACAAGGCATAAAAAATATAGAATGCCAAAGCAATAAATCACAATGCCTATATCTTAGTTACTTAAAACAGAGAACTAAAAATTTTATGTAAGATGGTGAATGGGAAATTACAATACACATGAACACCATAGGCAGGTTAACTTATCTGGCAAAAGGCCAAGGTAGGTAACCACCTCTGAAAAACACTTTATTTTTACAGAATAGGACAGTATGAATATGAGTACATATTTAGAATAAAGGATTGCTTAACAGTAAAGACTCTCAGAAAGATTTATCTGTTAGGGAGAACAATTATGTAAGCAATCAATAATTCACAGGAACCTGTTGGGGAAAACAGAAGATGGGAAAGCAACATAATACAGTAACTTGCTGGAGAGAGATTATATTCATTACCAAGACATTAGAGGCCTCCATCAAGGAAAAAAAATATACAAACTACAGGTAAAACAAGAGAGTTTACAAGAGAGCAGTCATATTGCAGAAACTCATTAAAGAAATCCTAAATGAACTAGCTCAAGTTTATATATTGTAAATATGGCTAAGAAATATTGAAAAAATTTAATGTGTCTTGGAAGAACACTTCAAATATTAGCTAATATTTCAGTAATGCTGTTTGCTCTGCTGATAGTAGTCAAACTATAAAAATTTTCCAAGACAAAGACAGGCTCAAATTCTGAGTAAGCATTTACTGTGATCCTCTATATGACAGGGACTTTCCTTCATTAGTGTTAGATGTTAATATACTGCACATTGCTTTGTAAAAATTTTTTGCATAACACAGTTTCTACTTACCATTTCCCAAATTATAGTCTTGAAGAATGGATGTGTAATAATATCTGTAAAGCCAGTTTCTGGGTGACACCCTAGTCGATCCACTGGGTTCTTATTAAGGAAGCCCTTGAGTATCGAGGCAGCTTTTACAGACAATGATCGAGGAATACGGATGGGTCGCTCCAGGATAACTGAAAATCAAGACTGACATCGTTAGGCTTTACAGAAAAGGATTTAATTTTTTCTATCTAACTTTTAGAATTTCCATTCTTTGTGTAATTCTTATGTGTAAGCTTTCCCAAATATTTCATCTATTGTAAATACAAGTGTCAAAATATTTTGGATGAACACTAAATATTTGCTCAAGAATTCTAAATATTTATTACATTAGTGAATGATTACTATATTCATGTGGAAGCACTAAACTCACAGAAGTCATCCAGCACCAGTACATTAGTGAAGTAATGTCTATTTACCAACACCGAGAAGCAAGAATTTGTGGAAAGAGTATGCACCACCTTATGACACATGAAAAGTTGGGAATAGAAAGCATGAGAAGACAGAATGGGACAGAGAAGCAGAGAAGTAGGTCACCACCGATACTACAATAGGTATGCTACAATATGTCACAGACATCAACTCTCAGCCAGTTGTAAGTGCAATTGTAAACCAAACTACAGGTCCGGCATCACAAATCCGGCAATCAGTTATTCGGTTCCTTCAGTTATTCGGCACTAATTTTGGCTAGCATAATTTCAAAAATCCAGGGTCGCCACACCAACCTGCTGGTACTGTTTGGTGGTGCTACTTGCTGCATAAGTCATTCCAATTTCTTTTTCTCCATTTATTGATTTAACCTGCTTACTTTTAGCCCTAGCCATGGTTCCAATGAATAAAAGAAATGCTTCTCATTATGTAAAGCACCTACACAGTACATTATCCATTAAAGGTAAGGTGGCTTTGAAGCCACTGTCGGTTGCCATGAGATCAGTCTCATGATGCAGGAGAATATGCTTTATTATGCTAATATCAACACTACAGCTTATTTGCCAATCACAATTGATCTAATATGACATAATAAACAATATAAATAACATAAAACATGTTAAATACTCCAGAATGAAACACAAATAACCCGCACATAAAAGAGAGAAGCTTACAACGGCGTTTCGGTCCGACTTGGACCATTGACAAAGTCACACAGTGTGACTTTGTCAATGGTCCAAGTCGGACCGAAACGTCGTCGTAAGCTTCTCTCTTTTATGTGCGGGTTATTTGTGTATCGTTCCAGTCACGGTATTGTGCCTTTTTTTGTTATCTCCAGAATGAATAATATTTGGCATAACACTAAGCAGTTCGACGGAGGTATGAAGAGGATATGGTATACAAATACCATTCTCCTATCCCTGTCTTGGGAGCTTATATTGGAGAAAACGGAGTGTAGCACAGGACTAACTATGATATACACTCGTACTGCACCATAAACCTGAAACAAAAAAGTTATTTTCTCTATATAGATTATCACACATAGCAGCATATGTGTAGAGAACCTAGGATAACCCAAAAAAGTCAACGTGGCTTAATTCTAGTACCTGGCTTGGGTTAGCCATATATGATTTTTGGTAAATATTCGATTCCCAGCCAGGGTAGAAACATTAGGCGTGTTTCTTTACAACTGTTGTCTATCTTTACCCATCAGTAAATGGGTACCTGGGTGTTAGCCGACTAGTATGGGTGCTATCCTGGGACACAGACCTAATTTTCTTGAAATACTCTGCATAACAAGCACTTTCTATATAGTAGTATGTCACTGATGTCAGCTAGGCCTGTGTACCTTGTACATGTACGTGTAGTAAATAAATATTATTATTATTATTATTATTATATTATTATTTTCTCAGTTGTTTGTTGGGTTATCTTATTCAAACTTGGGCAATGTATGACGGAAAGATACTTCTTAATGTACACCAAAAATGAAAGAAATCAGACCATAAATAGCGGAGATCACTTCTCAACCACTAGCGGCCGCTTAGCGGCATATTTTTGTATGTTTTTTATGGTTATATTCTCATTTTTTCAGTCTCATTTGATAGAATGAAAGATATATTACAGAAATAGATATGATTTTGATTGCTTTCATGACGAAAATTACCTTGAAATTGCGCTCACAGTAGCGAAAATGTTCTATTCTTTAGCGAAGCTCAAGAGTAAACAAATAATGTCACCGTCCAATACCTGTCCGCCTGCTAGTCCAAATTCCAATACGTAGTCAAGAATGGGTTGACATTATTTATACAATTATTACAACAATGCAGCAGTCTGGATAACAGTAAATCTTCTATTTTTTTTGTGAATAAAAATTCCAAATGGTAAGCAAGAGTAATATAAGAGGGGCCTGGAACCATGACTAATGAACAGAGAAAATGTTATTTTTGTGCCAGGAATGTCTGCATTGTTTATTTGGATCCTATTTTGAAATTGGCATCTGTTGAAATTTGTGTGAAATCGGCCAAATTGCCAATTTCTGACCACTTTATTGGGTAGTTGAAATAAGTGAATGGGCGGTTTCTTGTACTCAGTTGACAGACTAGAAGTAAATAAGTTTATTCAGGTATACACAAATACAGCTACATAGATTAACATACATAGCAGTGTATGTATAGAGAACCTAGGATAACCCAGAAAAGTCAGACAAAGTGACTTATTTCCAGTACCTAGCTTGGGTTTGCCATATATGATTTTTGGTAAATATTTTTTTTCTCGGTTGTTTGTTGGGCTATCTCATTGAAACTTGGGCAATGTATGATGGAAAGATACTTCTTAACATACAACAAAAATAAAAATAAAATAAATAAGGTAGTTCACTTCTCAGCTATTAGCTGCCTCTTTGCAGTATATTTTCGTATGGTTTTTATGGTATTCTCATTTTTTTGGACTCATTTGATAGAATGGAAGATATATTACAGAAATAGACATGATTTTGATTGCTTTCATGACGAAAAGTACCTTGAAATTGAGCTCAAAGTAGCGGAAATGTTCGATTTTTGCTGATGTTCAATGAACTTTGTGTAAGTCAAGTTGTTTAATTTTATTAAGTGTATTCTAACCTAACAACTCTGTAATCCGGCAAACTCAGTAATTCGGCACACTACAGGTCCCAATGATGCCGGATTTGTGATGGAGGACCTGTACTTTACTAAACAACTCTCTAGCCCGAGGGTGAATGTCAAGGATCTCTTAAAACTTTTCCTTTAATGGTGCTCCTAAGGAGGATCAAAACTTCTTTAAACCTCATTAGCCATCTCCCACCAAGGCAGGGTGACCCAAGACAAAGAAACATTTAACTATTGCACCTTAAAAGATGGTTTAATAAAAATATTGAAAGAAAACTAGAAAACAAGATGGTGTTATAAAATTACTAAAAAAAAAAATAAAATGAGAAAGAGTGTAGGATAGTTTGCTTTTCAAATGGGCTAATACAATAAATGATGTCATTGCTCATGCTATGCTGCTATTAAAACAAAAAAATAAAAGTAACTGGACTCAACATTATGTACAAAACTAGAATTATTAACTTGAAACATTATATAAGCACACAGCTGGTGTCTTTCGAATCAGCCCTTCCAATTGGCTAATGCTGCATATTATGTAGTAGGGTTTGGCAAGGATAAACTTATTCCACATGGTCAAATAGAAATATGGTCACATGGTAATACAACAATTTTGCAATGAATTCAGAGCAGCAACCCAAAAGAAACTTTTGCTGAATGTGTAACATGAAACAAACTGGGCTGCACAAGACTCATTGTAAAATATCTCATGTGCAAGAGAAGAAGACTGCTCTCATTCATTACAGTTTTATCTCTCACGAATATTTCAACTTTTATTACATCTTGCTTCAATGCATCCTTATTAATCTTTCTTTTATTACATATCCCTGAAGAAGTACCTGTGAGTGGTTGCCAGAATTTTTTTCGATTATAACTTTAGAATGACTCATCCTATCAGCTTCAAATTTTCAGTGCTGGTTTACCAGTATTGTACAGGGAAGAGGGTTCAGGCAACTATTAACATGTACAGATGCCCTATGATGAGTATCAGTAAAGTGTATAAGTGCACATTTGTTAGTTTTAGGTGTAAAAAGTATGACATTTTTCATTAAATTACATTAAATATGACTATAAATGGAGGGTATGTAAATCTGTAGTGGAGGGAAGGAAGGGGGTGAAGGTTTGGTGTGCAAGAGGCTTGGACATACAGTAGGCATGTGTGAGCATGCTAAATAGGAGTGAGTGAAGACAAATGATTTTTTGACCTGATAAGCTGTTGGAGTGTGAGCAGGATAATATTTTGTGAAGGGATTCAAGGAAACCAGTTAGCTGGACTTGAGTCATGGAGATGGGAAGTACAATGTCTGCACTCTAAAAGAGGGGTTTGGGATACTTGCTGTTTGGAGTGACATCTAAACTGTCGTATCTGTGTGTCTTTGGCAAGACAACGATGACTGATATGAAGCCAAGGATTCTGCTAGCTTTATTGCAAACACTTATGCACTGTTGTCTTGGTTTCAGATTACTACTAACCAGGATTTAGGAGTTCTGGTTAGTAGTAATCTGAAACCAAAACAACAGTGCATAAGTGTTCGTAATAAAGCTAACAGAATCCTTGGCCTCATATCAAGAAGTATAAATAATAGAAGTCCTCAGGTTGTTTTTCAACTCTATATATCTTTGGTTAGGCCTCATTTAGATTATGCTGCACAATTCTGGTCACCGTATTACAGAATGGATATAAATGCATTGGAAAACACACAAAGGAGGATCTTTCCAATGAGGATAGACTGAGGGCCCTGAATCTGCACTCTCTAGAAAGGCATAGAATTAGGGATGATATGATTGAGGTGTATAAATGAAAAACAAGAATTAACCATTTAACTGTCAAAACATAGATCTACGTTCACGTGCATAGCACTCTGAATGTAGATCTACTTTTTTTTTTTTACATTTGAAAGCATGTAAAATAAAACGTAGATCTACATTCGGAGAGCTATGCACGTGAACGTAGATCTACGTTTGGAGAGTTTAAGGGTTAATAAAGGGGCTGTAAATAGCGTGCTAAAAATATCTAGCCCAGATAGGACTCGCATCAATGGGTTTAAGTTGGAAAAATTCAGATTTAAGAAGGATACAGGAAAGCACTGGTTTGGTAATAGAGTTGTGGATGAGTGGAACAAACTCCCGAGTACTGTCATAGAAGCTAAGACGCTGTGTAGTTTTAAAAATAGGTTAGATAAATACACGAGTGGGTGTGGGTGGGTGTGAGTTGGACCTGACTAGCTTGTGCTACTAGGTCAGATGCTGTGCTCCTTCCTTAAGTGAATGTGACCTGACCTGACTAGGTTAAAGAATTGTCTTAAGCTGGTGGGAGAATTGGACCTGCCTTGCATGGGCCAGTAGGCCTGCTGCAGTGTTCCTTCTTTCTTATGTTCTTAAAAGTGTTTCTTTATCAGGTCACCCTGCCTTGGTTGAAGACGGGCGGCATGTAAAAAAATAAATCTCTTGAACAGCTTCAATATTTAATGCATCTTATGAACAGAACAGTACACAGTACATTTAGTCTGTGTAAATGAAAATTTGACAGTTTACTAACATGGTTAAAAACTTGGACTCAGTGGATTCCGAGCAATATCTGTAGGACAATTTTCCTGATACTCTTCAAGGGTTCAACAACTGTGGGCTCCATTAAAAGAAAGTCTGGCATTTGATTTGAACTCTGCAAATTTTAATTTGTTAACATTATTAAATATTCAACTTCCATGCAATAACCGATGTTATACAAAGCTTAGGTAGTAGGTTGGTAGACAGCAACCACCCAGGGAAGTACTACCGTCCTGCCAGATGACTGTGAAACAAAAACCTGTAACTGTTTTGCATGATGGTAGGATTGCTGGTTTCTTTTTCTGTCTCATAAACACGCTAAGATAACAGGGATATCTTGCTACTCCTACTTACACTTTGGTCACACTTCACAGACACGCACATGCATATATATATATACATACATCTAGGTTTTTCTCCTTTTTCTAAATAGCTCTTGTTCTTTTTTATTTCTTCTATTGTCCATGGGGAAGTGGAAAAGAATCTTTCCTCCGTAAGCCATGCGTGTCGTATGAGGCGACTAAAATGCCGGAGCAATGGGCTAGTAACCCCTTCTCCTGTATACAATTACTAAAAAAGAGAAGAAGAAAAACTTTATAAAACTGGGTTGCTTAAATGTGCGTGGATGTAGTGCGGATGACAAGAAACAGATGATTGCTGATGTTATGAATGAAAAGAAGTTGGATGTCCTGGCCCTAAGCGAAACAAAGCTGAAGGGGGTAGGAGAGTTTCAGTGGGGGGAAATAAATGGGATTAAATCTGGAGTATCTGAGAGAGTTAGAGCAAAGGAAGGGGTAGCAGTAATGTTAAATGATCAGTTATGGAAGGAGAAAAGAGAATATGAATGTGTAAATTCAAGAATTATGTGGATTAAAGTAAAGGTTGGATGCGAGAAGTGGGTCATAATAAGCGTGTATGCACCTGGAGAAGAGAGGAATGCAGAGGAGAGAGAGAGATTTTGGGAGATGTTAAGTGAATGTATAGGAGCCTTTGAACCAAGTGAGAGAGTAATTGTGGTAGGGGACTTGAATGCTAAAGTAGGAGAAACTTTTAGAGAGGGTGTGGTAGGTAAGTTTGGGGTGCCAGGTGTAAATGATAATGGGAGCCCTTTGATTGAACTTTGTATAGAAAGGGGTTTAGTTATAGGTAATACATATTTTAAGAAAAAGAGGATAAATAAGTATACACGATATGATGTAGGGCGAAATGACAGTAGTTTGTTGGATTATGTATTGGTAGATAAAAGACTGTTGAGTAGACTTCAGGATGTACATGTTTATAGAGGGGCCACAGATATATCAGATCACTTTCTAGTTGTAGCTACACTGAGAGTAAAAGGTAGATGGGATACAAGGAGAATAGAAGCATCAGGGAAGAGAGAGGTGAAGGTTTATAAACTAAAAGAGGAGGCAGTTAGGGTAAGATATAAACAGCTATTGGAGGATAGATGGGCTAATGAGAGCATAGGCAATGGGGTCGAAGAGGTATGGGGTAGGTTTAAAAATGTAGTGTTAGAGTGTTCAGCAGAAGTTTGTGGTTACAGGAAAGTGGGTGCAGGAGGAAGAGGAGCGATTGGTGGAATGATGATGTAAAGAGAGTAGTAAGGGAGAAAAAGTTAGCATATGAGAAGTTTTTACAAAGTAGAAGTGATGCAAGGAGGGAAGAGTATATGGAGAAAAAGAGAGAAGTTAAGAGAGTGGTGAAGCAATGTAAAAAGAGAGCAAATGAGAGAGTGGGTGAGATGTTATCAACAAATTTTGTTGAAAATAAGAAAAAGTTTTGGAGTGAGATTAACAAGTTAAGAAAGCCTAGAGAACAAATGGATTTGTCAGTTAAAAATAGGAGAGGAGAGTTATTAAATGGAGAGTTAGAGGTATTGGGAAGATGGAAGGAATATTTTGAGGAATTGTTAAATGTTGATGAAGATAGGGAAGCTGTGATTTCGTGTATAGGGCAAGGAGGAATAACATCTTGTAGGAGTGAGGAAGAGCCAGTTGTGAGTGTGGGGGAAGTTCGTGAGGCAGTAGGTAAAATGAAAGGGGGTAAGGCAGCCGGGATTGATGGGATAAAGATAGAAATGTTAAAAGCAGGTGGGGATATAGTTTTGGAGTGGTTGGTGCAATTATTTAATAAATGTATGGAAGAAGGTAAGGTACCTAGGGATTGGCAGAGAGCATGCATAGTTCCTTTGTATAAAGGCAAAGGGGATAAAAGAGAGTGCAAAAATTATAGGGGGATAAGTCTGTTGAGTGTACCTGGTAAAGTGTATGGTAGAGTTATAATTGAAAGAATTAAGAGTAAGACGGAGAATAGGATAGCAGATGAACAAGGAGGCTTTAGGAAAGGTAGGGGGTGTGTGGACCAGGTGTTTACAGTGAAACATATAAGTGAACAGTATTTAGATAAGGCTAAAGAGGTCTTTGTGGCATTTATGGATTTGGAAAAGGCATATATGACAGGGTGGATAGGGGGGCAATGTGGCAGATGTTGCAAGTGTATGGTGTAGGAGGTAGGTTACTGAAAGCAGTGAAGAGTTTTTACGAGGATAGTGAGGCTCAAGTTAGAGTATGTAGGAAAGAGGGAAATTTTTTCCCAGTAAAAGTAGGCCTTAGACAAGGATGTGTGATGTCACCGTGGTTGTTTAATATATTTATAGATGGGGTTGTAAGAGAAGTAAATGCGAGGGTCTTGGCAAGAGGCGTGGAGTTAAAAGATAAAGAACCACACACAAAGTGGGAGTTGTCACAGCTGCTCTTTGCTGATGACACTGTGCTCTTGGGAGATTCTGAAGAGAAGTTGCAGAGATTGGTGGATGAATTTGGTAGGGTGTGCAAAAGAAGAAAATTAAAGGTGAATACAGGAAAGAGTAAGGTTATGAGGATAACAAAAAGATTAGGTGATGAAAGATTGAATATCAGATTGGAGGGAGAGAGTATGGAGGAGGTGAACGTATTCAGATATTTGGGAGTGGACGTGTCAGCAGATGGGTCTATGAAAGATGAGGTGAATCATAGAATTGATGAGGGAAAAAGAGTGAGTGGTGCACTTAGGAGTCTGTGGAGACAAAGAACTTTGTCCTTGGAGGCAAAGAGGGGAATGTATGAGAGTATAGTCTTACCAACGCTCTTATATGGGTGTGAAGCGTGGGTGATGAATGTTGCAGCGAGGAGAAGGCTGGAGGCAGTGGAGATGTCATGTCTGAGGGCAATGTGTGGTGTGAATATAATGCAGAGAATTCGTAGTTTGGAAGTTAGGAGGAGGTGCGGGATTACCAAAACTGTTGTCCAGAGGCTGAGGAAGGGTTGTTGAGGTGGTTCGGACATGTAGAGAGAATGGAGCGAAACAGAATGACTTCAAGAGTGTATCAGTCTGTAGTGGAAGGAAGGCGGGGTAGGGGTCGGCCTAGGAAGGGTTGGAGGGAGGGGTAAAGGAGGTTCTGTGTGCGAGGGGCTTGGACTTCCAGCAGGCATGCGTGAGCGTGTTTTGATAGGAGTGAATGGAGACAAATGGTTTTTAATACTTGACGTGCTGTTGGAGTGTGAGCAAAGTAACATTTATGAAGGGATTCAGGGAAACCGGCAGGCCGGACTTGAGTCCTGGAGATGGGAAGTACAGTGCCTGCACTCTGAAGGAGGGGTGTTAATGTTGCAGTTTAAAAACTGTAGTGTAAAGCACCCTTCTGGCAAGACAGTGATGGAGTGAATGATGGTGAAAGTTTTTCTTTTTCGGGCCACCCTGCCTTGGTGGGAATCGGCCGGTGTGATAATAAAAAAAAAATAATATACAAAGCTTTGGATTGTTACCAGATTGTACTGGTGCCTATTTAGAAATTCTTGCTTTATGAGCTCACAGTAGGTATGCAAATAGTGGCTGCTTATAAAAATAAAATATTTTTCTTACAGGGTTGCTGAAAATCTTATATAGAATATAACTGAGAAAAGGCTTCAGCGGGATATGGCCGGTTTGTTGAAAGGACTGAGAAAACTGACAAATATTGAAAACTTGCCTTTTTTTAATGGCATTTTGAAGTTTCAGAAGTTTAGTAAGTCCTAGATTCTTGAACATTTCTGTACTCACCCTGGAAGAGGAAGTCTTCAGTGTTACAATCTGGGTTGTCAGAGGCTCCTACAATATCAAAAGGACTCTTGCCTGCTAGCATTTCATAAAGCAGAACTCCTAATGCCCACCAGTCAACACTGTATGAGAGTAAGAAGTAAGGTGTAACTTAATGGGTTTGTAATACTTCTTAAAGTACAGTATTAAAAAGTTGTAGAGCTCTTTAGTCAAAATGCAAGTGAATACTGCATAAAAACACTAATTATAGTATGTGATCTAACACAGTTACTGGAAAGTTGCAATATCTAATCAGTGAAATGAAAGTTCAAGTTGCAATATCTAATCAGTGAAATGAAAGTTCAAGTTGCAATATCTAATCAGTGAAATGAAAGTTCAAGAATGGTTAAATTTTTGTCTTATATAATAAAATCACTCAGTACAGAAGATCCCAAAATTGCAAACACTCAAATTAGACACATTCACACTTATAAATGGGTCACTTAAGAAATAATTAAAGATTTTCAACTGCTAGACTGAAGTATGAACATGTGAGAAATCTGACCTGCCTTTGTATACAGGTTTCCCTCCACATTCTTGAGTTCCACTTTTGCGGGCTTTGAACATTTGCGAATGCCCAGCCGCCCAATCATATTTAAAATATGTCATTACATATGTTAGGAATTGTGGCGGTGGCAGAGTTTGTTTGGTATGAGGCCAATATAGTCCTTTAATATGACACTAGTACCAACCCTACGGCTTATTTATCTATCACAATTCATCTAATATGACATAATAAACAATATTAATAACATAGAAACATGACATATACTCTAGTATGAATAAAATATGTCATTAAGTATGTCACGAGTGTTGTGTGTGGTTGTTGTTTGGTGAATAAGAGCCAATGAGAGCAGAAGCCTTACTTAGTGGTGATGATGGCAGCAGCAGCAGAGGTGGTAGAGGCGGCGGTGTTGTTAGTCGCCCTATATAACTCCAACAACATTGGAGGAGTTAGGTTTGTGCTGTCCTTTTTCTATCGATTAATCCCTAAACTTACTTCCTACGCTATTAATGCTACACTTTATTGCTGGCTGGCACTCTAGCCTTTTTAGACTCATGCTGCTTAAGTATCGTACATATCGTAGAATCACTGAAGAATGCACATTCTCTCCTCTCTCTTCCTCCTCCATTCTGGTACTCTGCTACAAGTCTTTCTCACTTTCTTTACCAAAGGGCTGGCACTAGTACAATATTTTACAATGTGCTTTATGATTGTTCATGGTTCAATAGATTAAGCCTTTGACTGTTTCGGTCGTATATATACGTCTTAAGAGCCACCGTGTTTGACGTATATCTACTCATAAATTCTAGCAGGTTCAAATCAAGTAGGAGAAAGCTGGAAGGCCCACATGTGAAAGAATGGGTCTGTGTGGTCAGTGTGCACCATATAAAAAAAATCCTGCAGCATGCAGTGCATAATGAGAAAAAAAAAACTCCGACCGTTTTTTTGAATTAAAATGCCGACTTTGTGGTCTATTTTCGCATAGTATTTATGGTTGTATTCTCGTTTTCCTGGTCTCATTTGATAGAATGGAAAACATATTACAGAAATAGAGGTGATTTTGATTGGTTTTACTATGAAAAGAACCTTGAAATGGAGCTCAAAGCAGGGGAAATGTTTGATTTCTGCTGATGTTCAAAGGTAAACAAATGATGTCATTTTCCAATAAATGTCCAAGTAGCCATTCTAATATGCAGTCATGAATGGGTTGACATTATCTGTACAATTATTACAATATTGCAGTAGTCTGCATAACAGTAAATCTTCTATTTTTTGTTTGAAAAAAAAAAAAATTCAAAATAGAAAGCAATAGTAATATCAGAGGGGCCTGGAGAAACAGCTATGAGTTTGGTCGACTGGAACAATGGAATTAGCCGAAAATAGGGTTCAAAGTGGGCGAAATCGCCAATTTGTAAATATCGCCGAGGTCGCTAACTTCACAAGAGCGTAATTCCGTCAGTTTTCCATCAAATTTCGTTCTTTTGGTGTCATTACAATCAGGAAAAGATTCTCTATCACTTCATAAGAAAAAATAATTTTTTTTTTTTTGGAAATTTTGCGACACCAGGAGACGCCTCAGGATTGGGGGTTGCGACAGTCAAGGGGTTAAGGAAGTAGTATTGTTAGGCTATGTAAATGTTATTATTATATTTTCCTACAATATATTTGTGCACCAAACATTTGCTATTTTTCAACATTCACGACGTTCTTGATCCCCTCACCCTTGAAAATGTAGAGGGAAACCTGTATTTGTTTTCTATATAAACTTGTGGAAATGCAACTTGGTTGTAAAAGCCAGGGAAACTTCTGTACAGGTACTAGTACAAATATACAACTGTTATCCCAAGAGTGTAAGAATTTCCTCACCTAAAGCTATATTCTACACCTTGTAAAATCTCTGGTGCAATGTAGTTTGGGGTCCCGCAGAAGGTAGAGGTAGTGTCACCTGGACGGATGCCTTCTTTGCACATACCATAATCAGTAAGTTTAATGTGCCCCTCGTGATCAAGTAAAACGTTGTCCAATTTAAGATCCCGATAGATTATACCTGTCAAAGTAAATGGGCTAAGTTCCTGTACATGAATACCATTTCTTTTTGGGTCACCCTGCCTCAGTGGGAGATGGCAGACTTGTTAAAAAAGAAAAAAAAAGTACATATAATGAAATGGATCAATAAGATTAGAAAGTATAAATAGTTCAAATGGCATCATGTAAGACAGTAATGAGTACTGTACTAAATAAGAAGGCTACACCTAAATCATTAGAATTAAACTTCTATGTTCCTGTATCCAAAGAGTATACAGTACAGCAATCTGTGGTTTGTGAAAATATTTTCACAATTTATTACCAAATTTAATTTAGTAATTAAAAATGCTTTATAAAGAAGTCTTTATAAATTACTCTAATATTCTGTCTTTCATGCAGTTAATGAAGACAGAATAAGGGTATCATCAACTCTGACAGGAGTGCTTTAATAATTTAGTACATATTATTTAAAACAAAAATGAGTGAGGAAATAATATATTCTTTCTTTTAAAAGTTTATCTTGTAGACTGATGTGTATATTCACTACAATTTTCACTACAATTCACTACAATTATCCAAATCTGTATATAATTTGCAACCCACCCTTTTCATGAAGAAAATTAAGTGCCAAGCATATTTCAGCAGCATAAAATCTAGCATGTTCCTCTGGTAAGCGACGCTGTCGCTGCATATGGAACATCAGGTCACCTCCTCGGACAAATTCAATCACAAAGAAAAGCCGGGACGGAGTCTGGAAGCATGAGTGCAGACCAACTAGGAATGGGTGGTTTGAAGCTGTCTCAAACACATGTTTTTCTGTTTGCACCCAATCTATGTCCTGCAATATAATAATACTGATAAATTAAAATGGCTAATGAATACTCAAAATGAAACAAGATATGTACTGTATGACATAATTCAAGACAATAAAACTGCCATTCTGACACAAAGCCAAAACTTGTAATGAATTGGGAAACAAAAAACTGGATATCTCTTAATGACATATTCAGGTGATTACTCAAGGTACTTAGAACAATCTCCTCAATGATCTTCATCGTTATGATTGTTAATTGGTTAGAAGTGATAAGAAGATACATGATGTACAGCTTGATGGAAAAGATATCCTTCCAATACTGGCCTGATTATCACACCAAAACAAAACAATGACTATCTACTTTCCCTGATGTGCAGGCAACAGAAGCATAAGGAACACATGCTAATTATTTTTTGTTTATACAACACCCTATTTTCACTGTTATTGTATTAATATCATGTGTTCCTTTAATCTGTACATGTGTAATTTTTTTTTTCCAACAAACCAGCCATCTCCCACTGAGGCAGGGTGACCCAAAAAAAGAAGAAACATTTTCAACATCACTCATTCCATTACTGTCTTGCCAGAGGGGTGCTGATACTACAGTTCAAAACTGTGAACTTCCCTACCCCTCCTTCAGAGCGCAGACACTACTTTCCACCTCCAGGACTCAAGTCCAGCTAACCGTTTTCCCTGAATCCCTTCGTACACGTTACCTTGCTCACATTCTAACAGCACGTCAAGTCATAAAAACCACTTGCCTCCATTCACTCTTATCTAACACGCTAACACACATATGCTGGATGTCCAAGCCCTTCACACACAAAACCTCCTTTACCCCCTCACTCCAATGTTATAAATTCCACTTCTACATGTACAGACTAATCAGTCATTAAACACCTCCAATACTGCCCCACTTCACAAAAGTAGCAGTGAAAAACTGTAGACCAATAGTGCTAAAGTCACAGATTCTCAAAATCTTTGAATGGGTAATAAGAAATAAGACTTCCAATCACACGGAATCATAGCAGTTGCACAACCGAAGGAGGCACTGGTTTAGAGCAGTAAATTTCCCAGCCTTTAAACAAATGCTAGACCATCACCCACAGTTTTGGGATGAAACTGGAAAGAAGGGTAAATGCTGAGCATTTTTACACCTTTTTTTTTCAAAAGCCCCCCAAAAAGGGTGTGACCATGATGTGAGGGTGCTCAATTTTCCATGCAAAAGGAAAAAACGAGAAAGTGCAGATAGATTTTTTTAACATCTTAAAAAAATTGCCCCCTTTTCCATTTTTTTAAACGACAAAAACCGGGAATTTTTTGAGTGGAAATAACTGAGAAAAAAATTAATTTTTTCAGCAAATATAAACGGTCTTCCACGGGGCCCACAGATACCATGATGTTCAATGGGGAAAAATTTTCAGTTCCCACATAGAAGACGGGGGGAAAAAAAAGACAAAATTTGGGAATGGAGAAGGTCCCCACATTTCAACGTTCCCCCTTTTTCGGGTCCCTCTTTTTGGGCAGTTTTAAAATTGAGCCATTTTTTCTTTATAAAATGTCGATTTTTCAGCATCCCTTTCCCCCATGATCCCTACTTTTTCACTTCCTCAAACTGATTTATTTGATTGTGCTTTAAAAATTTCTTCATGTTTTTGTTTTTTTTAAATTTTTTTCTTTTGTGGAGTACGGAATTAAAATTTTAAATTCTTATTTAATCATATTTTTGGAGATTTTTTGGGTTATGTATAAAGAAGGACAAAAAAATTTTGGGAAAAAGGGAAAGGGGAAATGGTATAAACCTGGGATTAAAGGGAGGAGGTATGGGGATATTTGAAAGAAACGAAAGGAGGGTGTAAAAAAAAAATTAAATTAAATTTAAAACATAAGTCAAGGTTTTAAAAACACCACCAAGCATGGAGAGTACAGGGGAATTTCGGTATGCAACCTTAATTCTTTCCCAGAAGCCCTTTTAAACAGTGCCGTTTCCGCTGAGTATCAAAACAAGTTTTTCCCCAAACCCCATTTTTTCTTTTGGGGTTGGCTTGTTTTTCACAAATCATCGTAGGCCCCAAGGGGGATTTTTTTTTTTTTCAACAAGTCCCCTGTCTCCCACTGAGGCAGGGTGACCCAAAAAGAAAGAAAATCCCCAAAAAGAAAAAAAATTTTTAAATAAAATTAAAATTAAAACACTTTCACCTCAACATACATAATCACTGCTTTTGGGGGAGGAAACACAGATACGAAAAATTTTTTAGAAGTCCCCCCAAACGCCCAATTCCTAAAACCCCCCCCCTTTTAAAAAGGGCAGGCATTGTACTTTCCATTCCGGACCCCAAGCCGGCAAAAATCTTTTAAAAACCTTTTCCCCCCAACCCTTCACTAAATATTACCCGGCTCATACTCCAACCCCCCAAACCCCCAAAAAAACCCATTCGTTTTTCCCTTTTTATTTTCCTATCAAAAACACTTCACACACACTTGCTGGAAGCCCCAACCCCCTTTCGCCCACAAAACCTCCTGAAAACCCCCCTCCCGGGAAACCTTTTTCCAAGGAAAAACCCCCTTTACCCCCCCTTTTCCTTCCCCTCCCAATTTTATACACCCCCAAAGGGTTCATTTTTAACTTTAAATCCTTTCTCTCTAAATGCCCAAAAAACCACCTCTGCAACCCCTCTTCAGCCCCTTTGCAATATTTTTAAAGCAACCCCAAACCTCCAAATTTTTTCCACATTTGTCAATTTTTTCTACATAATATTTTATACCACAAAATTGGGCCCCTTAGAAAACATCTCCACTGCCTCCATTTGCCCCCCTCGCTGAGAAATTTAAAAACCCAAGTTTTCACACCCCCATAAAAGAGTGAGGGTTTAACCACTTATTTTCATACATTTTTTTCCCTTTGCCCCATAGAAAAATTTTTTTTTTGTCTCCACAATACCCTCAATGCCCACCCCACCTTTTTTTCCTTTTCATCTTCAAAGGGTTTAACCTCATCCTAAAAAGGGTATAAGGTACTTTTAAATACCCCATCCCCTTTATTTCTTATCTCTGTTCATTTTCAATTTTCAAACCCTTTACACACCCTCCCCAAACTCGTCTAAAAACCTTGCAATTTTTTTCCCTTAAAGAACCCTCCCATAAAGCACAGTATCACCCAACAAAAAAGAAATTTGGGCCCCAACCCCATTTTGTACTTGTTTCCCCCAAATTTTTTAACCCCCCCCTCCTTTTCCCCCAACACCCTACAATTACTTCTTTTTAACAACCCATCTATAAATAATTAAAAAACCCAAAGGGTGACTTTAACACATCCCTGTCTAAACCTTTTTTAAAACCGGGGAAAATAATTTCTTTTTCTCCTCTCCTACACACTCAAAACCTTTAGCCTAGCCTCATAAAAACTTTTTACAACTTTTTACAAATTTTACTACCTATTCTATACACTTTGCAACATCGCCACATTGCTCCCCTATCCACTCCCATCATATCCCTTTTTTTCGAAATCTAAAAAATGCAATGAAAACTTCCCACTTTTTCAAAATTTACGTACTTTCACATGTATTTTTCAATGTAAACTTTTTAACCCTCACACCCCCTATTTCATCAAATCCTCCGGGAAATCCTACTCTCTTTTTTACCTTTAATTCTTTCAATAATAGCCCAACCATACACTCCCCTGGAATACTAGGAAAATTTTTTTCTTCTTTCATTAAAAACAAACCGCCATATCCCACCGGGGCAGAGGGGCCCCAAAAAAGAAAAACGTAATTTTATTTTTTAAAAATTTGTAATTTATACGGGAAGAAAAAGGGTTACAAACCCCTTTTCCTCCGGCATTTTGGGTTTCCTCTTACAACACGCATACTTACAAAGGGGAAGGGAACTGTTCCATTTCCCCCCAAGGAGAAAAAGGGGAAAAAAACAAGAACTAGTAAAAAAAATAGAAGAAAACCCAAAAAGGTTGTATATATATCTTGTACATGTATGTGTAGTGTACCCAAGGGGTAAAAAAAAGTAGCAAGTTTGTACCGGGAAACCTTGCATGTTTATGAGACAGAAAAATGGACCCCAGCAATCCTACCATAAATGAAAAAACAATTACAGGCTTTCATTTTACACTCACTTGGCAGGAGGGTAGTACCTCCCGGGGCGGTTCCCTGTCAAACCACCTACTACCTAGAATTTCGGGAAAATTTTTTTTTTTTTTTTAAAAAAAGTCAGTCATCCCCCACCGGGGCGGGTGACCCAAAAAAAAGAAAATCCCCAAAAAAAAAAAAACCTTTCTTTCATTATTCAGCACTTTCACCTCACTCACACAAAATTTCACTTTTTTTTGCAGAGGTGCCAGAAAAACAACAGCTAGAGGGTATATACTTAAAAAAATACACAATACATCACTCCAAAAACTCCCAAATACCCCAAACCCCCCCTTTTTACAGTGCGGGCATTATACTTCCCATTTCCAGGACTCAAGTCGGGACTATAAAAATAACCGGTTTCCCTGAATCCCTCACAAAATATTCCCCTTTGTTCACCCTCCTTAAAATTTCCCTGCTCTTCACTCTTAACCTTATTCCCCTAAAATTTTTAAAATCTTTTTTTTGCCCCCCTTTCCCACTTTATAAAAAGGGGCCCTTACATGGTCCTCTCCAACCCCAAGGGTCCCTCCCCCTTTCAGCATTTATTAAAAAAAAAAAAACCAAACCCATTTTCCAACACAATATCCCCCCGCTTTTAAACTTTTCTGTCGGACCCCCGTCATTTTCCGCTGCTAAAACCCCTTTCATTCAAAACAAAAGGGCCTTAAAAACCTCCCCCAAACTCAAATTCTGCTTTTCCCTTTCATTTCCAAAACCTAAAAGATGTTAAAAACCGCCTTGACCAGTGCATAAAAATTTCCCCGCCCCCCCTTTCATCATCGACTTTTTTAAAAGTTCCTCAAAAAAAATTCCCCCGCCTTCACCCCCCCAAAACCCTCCAGCCCCCCCATCACTAACTCAACTACTCGGTTTTTAACTGCA